AGCCTTCATGGCAAAACCTGTCAATTTCGAGAAGAGACTGTCTAGATAGGTCGACACGTCGATGGGAAGTAGCAAAAGTGCAAAATGCCCCCCCCCATCCCTCCGTCTCCGAACAGCGCCCGCGACCCCTCCCCAGTTCCCGTCTCTGATACGATCGAGCTGTCGAGCGGGGGAATATAGCACATAAGAAACGGGAAAAACATGAGGAAAATACGAGCCCTCCTTTTCCCCCTTTCCCACCCTACCACTTTCCTAAATTTTCCCAGCTTCCCACGGCCTTTTACAGTTTTTCCGGAACTTCCGGAATTCCCCAGGAATTTTCTAGTTTTTCTCCAAAATTTTGGTACCAAGCAGGGGTGGGAGGTATATTAGCTCATAACAAAACGAACACCGCGAAAAGTGAACACGACCCTCCTCCCCCCGTCCCTTCCAGCGACCGATACGTCCCTCCGTTTGGGATTCCCCAACGACGATATGCAGTGAGTGTGATACGAAGAATGTTCAGCCCGATTACTGGTTGCGACGGCCAGCAGAACAATTCAAGAACACTGAGAAACAGAGAAAATTATGAAAAAATAAAATAGTGAAGTAGCAAAGAGAAGCGTGGAAGACCATTTCACAACTACAATTAAAGAGAGAGCAGTCCTCCTCACAAATATAGTTCGACTTTTTTAAAACTGTAGGATTGCGTAGAAAGAAAGGCAGAAAAAGCGCAACATCAAAAACGTCACGAACTTGAATCGGTGGCGGTTTGACATCGTCCATGGTGCTGGGTGTCATCATCGTCGACGCAATTGCTGTTAATTGGCCGAGAATCGCTGGAGCTAAACCCATAGTGATGTAATCGCTGGCTTTCGGCGATTCACCTGAAGAAAAAGCTTCATCTGAAAAGTCAGGACCAGCAAGAGACCAGCAAAAAATGACCAAAATACCCTCTGTACAATGAAAAATGCGTCAAAAAGTCGACATATTAATCAGTGAACAGTAGTTCTTTTCCTTGTGCCAAGATATAAGATAGGAGCCAGGACGGAAAGGCTCGTTCTGATAAACAGGGCAGGAAAGGCCTTCAGACTTGTGACCCGAAACTGTTTTCACTCACTTCATCCCCAGCAGCGCACCGAACTGATGCAAAAGTTTAGCTCCACTCTGGAGCGGCACGACTTTAAAGACTCTCGAGGTCTCCTTCCTTGTTCCATCTAAACGAAAACGGGAATTATGTGTCTGGAGCTATTCTGTGGAATGAGGCGGTGAAGCTGGAATTAACGTAAGAGCAATTATGCATTTATAAATCCTGTTGTTGAGGGAAGAAAAGTATGAACATCTCTTCGAAGACTTTTCGGAGCGCTGCCGTCCCATGCGCTAGAAAAAAATGCGAACGTTCTCAAATCTTAAAGAGATTTTTTTTCGATACTACTTTTGAACAGGTGGATCTTGAGAAGCTCCTCCAGACTCATAAAAGAAGATGGAAATTTTGAAAGTGCTTCAATACTAGGCACACGAAATGATTGCTCTTTACTGAAAAAACACGTGTTTCGAGCCCGATTTCATGAGTTTGGGGCATGAGCCCCACCTATCCTGGCTGTTCATAACGCTTTTCGAATTTTTGTAACAAAAGAAACCAATATCAACAAGCAAGCATGGCGTTGTTTTATCGACGAGGAGGCATTTCGTAACTATCACCGCTCTCGCTCTCCCTTTTCGCGGTTTCAGCATAATGCTCACGACTGGTAAATTGTGAAGGCGTTGTGAGCTACGAGCAGATCGTCCAGCCAGCATTCTAAAACTTGTCAACTCGGAAAAAGGATACCTTGATGGGTTGGCAAAATGTGAAAAGCAGAGTGCCCCTCGTCGATAAACAGCGCCTGCAAGCACCATTAACATCCCTCTTTGCCTCGCATTTACTGAACCTTTTAAGCTGTGTCAAAGAATTCAACCCGCAGGTGATTGCTTAAAGATGCGCTGTACGTATACCTGCAGAATGGATTCTTGTCGCGTGCGAGGTGGAAAGGCCCGCTACTGTAGAAATGCGCCACTTTCATCACTCGAAATTGCGCGGCAAATGAAAGGGAGCTTTGATCATTCTGACTGCACCCACTATCCGCAATATGTGGCACTTCCACCTAGAAGCTATTATTGGGGTAGCGGTAGCGCGTATGGCTGCTTTTGGGCGTATGCCTGGTCCTGCGGCATGCTGCGTGTATCGTGCTCTGCCTGTGCGTGGAATCCGAAAGCCATCTGGCTGCCACTACACTCCTGCTTCATCTTCACGCATCACAAATATTCGAAGTGACTTCTACAGCTGCATGCGCGTCTCGTACATGGCAAGTATCACGATCCTCGTAGATAAGCGTACAACGTATCTTAGAGCCTAGAAACAGTGTTCCGGATAGAAACAAGCAGTGGTAAACAGGGTTGGTGCATAAGATGGATGAGGCAGATGTTAAGTCGAGATCCCTCGAAATCTGAGAAGCCTGGTTGGCGACTGTTCTTGGTTTAATACCGACATGAAGTATACTTTATCCTGGTTTCTTGTGCTCTTCCAATTGAGCCGGTAGGAGACAACATTGAGGGTCAAACTAATGGGCAGAAGTTGCCGGTATGGACTAAATGTGAACACTATTGAAACTTCTTCTGTCTAATTCCGGCTTGCCGGTTTCTGAGTTTAATGTTCAAATACCTGGATTACGTCGACTGAGCCACTAGCCTTTGAGCGAATGACTGACCACTGTATTGTATGATATCTGGTGTGCTTCAATTTAGCCATGATTTACTTCTAAATTTTTCTCGAGGGGACACATCCTCGAGATGTCATAGATAAATAAATAAATAAATAAATAAATAAATCATCCAATATGTTCTTGAACAGTGTGCTTGAAGCTCTTGACTTGTTTAACCACTTTATTGGCAAGCTTTCGGCATATAATGCCTTCGTCAGGCCTTAAATTACAATTTCAAACATATAATAGCTACAACGAGCAATGCGTAAAACCTCACATACCAGGCCTTGAGAGGGACGGACCTATCGGCGGGTGTCAGGGCAAATAGTTTTATCTCATTCAATGCAGAGGATGTGGAGAAACGTACGTGGGGGAGACCGCGCGACCTTTGAGGAATCGTCTGGACGAGCATAGAAGAGCGTTGAACAACCCCGCAGCTTACCCACGAAGTAGCTTCTCAAGGCACCGTACGCTTAGACACCCAAATGAGACCGCTCCGTCTTTTGATGTGAGTGTGTTGCATCGCCATTTGGTACGGCCGCTCCAGAGGAAAATAATGGAAGCTCGGGAGATACACCGCCTCAAGCCAGAGATCAATGCAAAAGAGGAGCTACGTGACCTTCTGAGACTCATCGCATAATCACCGCCACCCATTTGTCTCATTGTCATAGTGCGGGTCACTTATTGCCCTGACACCCCGCCGATAGGTCCGTCCCTCTCAAGGCCTGGTATGTGAGGTTTTACGCATTGCTCGTTGTAGCTATTATATGTTCGAAATTGTAATTTAAGGCCTGACGAAGGCATTATATGCCGAAAGCTTGCCAATAAAGTGGTTAAACAAGTCAAGAGCTTCAAGCACACTGTTCAAGAACATATTGGATGAAGCTCAGAGATAGCAGCATCTTGTCAGAATATTCACTAATTACTTCAGTATGGCATCCAGTGTGTTCCACCCAGTCTAACCTCACTACAAAAAAGTCAATTAACGGCATCATCCTGAGTTGCCTTCCTATGATTGTTACATTTGTGATTGACCAATAAATCTGTTCTGATCTGACCTAAAAGTTTTGATCCCCATCAACGGTGACCATATCCTTCAGCCAATCAAACGCTCGTTCAAATGTCAAAAAGTTGTACGAGCCGCTGCAAATTATGGGCTGGATTAGCTGCCAGCAAGTGCATAGGCACCCAGCCCCACGTTTTGAGAATTTTCCAAAACAATGCAAATGGCAAGGGATCTGGTAGGTTGATTAAATCAAATATTTGACGAAGTTTCTCCATGATCGTGCCAGAGAGCTTCCACGAGCTCCCACGAGAACGGATAACACTAGCTCTGCTGATCGCGACGACAATTTTCATAAGTGTCGATTCTGCAATGACGAACTTTTTGAAGCGATCTTATGCCAACGACATGGAACTGCTTCCCTCACTTGAATAAAGTGTTTTTTGTCAAACAGAATCAACTGCATTGTGGTTCGTATTCCGTAAGTAATATGGTCCAAACGTGCCTTCGGTCTTCTTCAGTGCTAGCCTGGTAAAAGTGTAGAACTTCTATTTGAGATCGAATCATTGAATGCAATAATTGGACTCGTGGTTCAAATCTCCGGAACCTTCCAGAAATTACCAGAAAAACACAGTCAAGACCCCGTTTTTTTTTCAAACCTCGCCACGATGCTTAATTGGTTTTCTTTGGCTGTCAAACGAGGTTTTTAGATAAAACTTTCCAGAGGCCAAAGATATCACCGACCGTTAGTGAAGTTGGTAAAATAGTGACTGGACACTAAACGGTGGGCAAAATTTTTAGCCCCTGAAGAAGATGAAACAGTCCAAATGTCAAGCCAAATAAAGGTTTCATCCAAAAACCTCGTTTAGCGAAAAAAGGAAGCCAATTCGGTCAATATCGTCAGAAATGTAAGTTCTTGATTTCTCATCCTCTTTCGGGTGGATTTCGTTGTTCAACCCACGAACAAGACTGGGAGTTCCTCTTACGTGTCTAACGAATACGAAATATGTCATTTTCCCTCGATAGCTATCAAGCCTTAGCAGAACTTGTTCAGGAAATGTAAAAATGTCCAGAATGCGTTAGTACATAAGTTAGGCATTGCATATAGTAACCAGGCGACGGAAAGTGCCCAAGTCGCCTGTTGCATAAATCTTGTCTCGCGAGGTTACAAGGCAGTGCGTAAAATGCATAAAGACCGCCCGAGAGCCCAAGCTGACCGAGCAACCAAATGGTCCATAGCAGTTAGAGCATTTTTGTTAACTTCAATTCAGAGCAACATGTTAGTACTCACAAGACATTTTTCGGTAGTCCGGCGACGGCACGGTCAGTAGGCGGCTGTCGGTTACCTGCGGCGGCGGCTCCATGGCGAGCGGAGACGCGGGCGAATGGACGAGCAGTCGTGGAACGTCCACCGGTGAGAACGCCGACATTCGTGAATCGAACGATGCCGGTCGCAGGGCTGAAATGGCAAACAAGCGAAATAATGGGTTAAAGGTCAGCAATATCAGATGTGGGATGCGTCGCGCAGCGCGTGCAGGACAACTAAACTGCGCGGCACTCCAACGTCAGCGTTCACAGTAGTTGTTAGCTTAGACGGCGAAGCAAGTGAGTTGTTTCGTGCATTTAGTAAATCATCAGGATCACAGTGAACACTGCAGGAGCACAAAGCGCAACAAACGTTCTCTTCTATTCCCAGGACAAACTTGGAGGTCCAAATAACGGACAGAAACTCACATGGCGACGCCTTGACGGTGGACGCCTGGCATGTCTCAAAGGAGGCGGCTCGCCGTCCCATATCCAACAATGATGGCTCATCATCCTGTACCGCTGCGGACTTCTGAAATGGAAAAACTATTTCATTCCAACAGCAATTATCGAAAAAAATCGTTCTAACGCTGAATACAATCAGATGATGCGAACAAGTACACTCGAAATCCCTGAGATGTGGTAGGCGTGGCTGCGTACTTCAGCTAAACATGGCTATGCTTTCGAGGAAATATTCTCATTTTGACATGATTCTGATAGTGTCTCTGTCCAGTACAGAACAAGATGACAGTTGTCTCGAATCGAAAAATCCCTCGGTAACCCATTCTGTACCAGTTCAAATGCCACGCCCACTCCGTCTCAGGGATAAGCAGTGCACAGACATCATTCGAGCAATACTGTAAGCAATACTGGGTCAGGGTTTCGAGGTTCTACAAAGGAGTCGCCTATTCAGCG